AAAAGAGTGTGAATAACAATCCTGTTTCACCATGGTGCTTCAAACTATAAAGACAATGAACATGTAATTTTATTATCAAGAGCTACAGAATATGTACATGTCAAATTGCTGCTACTACTACAAAGAAGCAAAGTTGTGGTTAAATGAGATTTGATCAGATTTTTAGTATTGGCTTAAGAGTGTCTGAATTCTCATGGTGCTTCTTGTGCTCTGGTATTCTTCAATTTTGTTTATTCAGGACTTCCTTTTGATTTCATTTTTCATTACCTTCTGTTCCCACAATTCACTTTTCTGTGGTTTATACATGTTCTGCAGAACTCATTGAATCAGAGGTTTTGTCACCTCACGTTATCACATCTCCCACAGACACCAACAGTCACTTGATGTTTCCTCCTACTTGTTGCAGACTTCAGGCCATTTCAATGTGGTTTTTTTATCATCACTGAATTGGATCAAAAGCGAGTATCTATTTCTTTTTAACAAGTGTAACTTTCTGGTTTTTTTGGTTTGGTTTGGTTTGGTTTGATTTTTTTAAAATTATTTCTTTATCTATTTTGGCAATTTTCCTGACTAGGTTTAGGAGGACTCCAAAATGTTTTCTGAATAACAATTCCTCCCACTGATATGTAAAACAGATTGCAACTGATGATGTACTGCAAAAGATTTTAGGAAAAAATGTCTTCATTTTAGCCTTGTGATACTACTGGATAGGCTGTTTGATCCATTTTAAACACTGGAAGCTAGTTTGTTGACCAGTTCAATAAAGAGATGATGTAGTTCTTCATTCTCTAGATAAAATTATGGTATGAGAACGTGTCTTCCAGATGTTCCTCCTTCTAGTTGCCCGGTGTGAATATTCTTGTTACTTGACAGAGCAGGGGATACTCATATTTTCAGAGCCTAGGGCAGTGTAGAGTGAAATGATCAGATAAAATAATATAAAGTGTCATACATTTTACAAACAGAATGGCTGGATGCCCACAGGAGCCCTGATACTTCCAGTAATATTTCAGAACAATCCACAGAATCATAAAGTTGTGAAAACTCTAATGTAACCTGCAGATACTCAATAAACAAATGCAAGGAAACACTACACCACAAGTTCAGAAAAAGAGTCTATGATATTGATACTAGAAAGAATCCAGAAAAGGGCCATGAAATAAGGGACTGGAGCATCTTTCCTCTGACGAGAGGCTGAGAGGGCTGGAACTGCTCAGCTTAGAGAAGAGAAGGCTCAAGAGGAATCTCATCAACATGTACAAATGTCTGAAAAGAGGTTGTAAAGAAGGCACAGACAGACTCTTTTCAGTGGTGTCCAGTGACAGGATAAGGAGCAACAGGTACAAACTGAAAAATAGGAGGGTATCTCTGAACATTTTCTCTGTTGCCCAGAGAAATTATGGATGCCCCTTTCTTGGAAGTGTTCAAGGCCAGTTTGGATGGGGCTTTGAGCAACTGGTCTAGTGGAAGGTGTTCCTGCCCATGGCAAGGGGGTTGGAACTAGATGACCTTTAAGCTGATCCTTTCCAACTCAGGTCATTCTATGATTCTATGATCAGCAAACACTGTTTTAGTTTCGGAGTTACTGAGTACTGAGACAAGTTTCACAGAGGAGTAGGGGAACTTCCCTTCTTGAAGATATTCAAAAGCTGTCTGGAAATGGTCTTGCACAAGTGTGTTAGGTGGTCCTGCCTGAGCAGGGTGCTTGAACCGTATGACCTCCAGAGGTCCCTTCCAGCCTCAACCAGTCTGTAAGTTTTTGATTCTACTTTGAAATTATTTTTCCACATATCATTCATTGAGTGTCAATATGCATACATTGTGAAATTCTGTGTTTTTTTGTGAATCTTAGCAGAGAAAGGATGGGCAATGATTGATTAGCTAACAATTACTTTTAGAGGTTTTTTTTTTAATTATGCAGAAAAAGAGCTGAAACACCACATGGTAGAAACTGAAGGACTTACACATCAGTACACGGTATATTTGTTAGAGCTTTGTGCATATGCCCTGCCCCTCCATCTGTTTTGTAACCACAAAGGGATGATCTATTATCATGATTGCTTTTACTTGTAAAGTAGCAGCATAAGAGGCCAACATTCTTCTCTTCTGTTCCCTTTGCTTCTTGAGTCTGGTGAACTTTATAAGGTACAGACCAGTACAAATGTTTCTATTTTATGAGCAGAGGTATTTTTAAACTATTAATTTGTTATGTCATTATTTTACTGTCAAGGTGTTAGAGGGAGGCTACCACATTCTTCATTTCCCTTCTCCCAATCTGTTTTCACAGCAGCTTTAAATTGTATCTACAGATGATCTTTTTTGTTATTAATTTATCAGTTTTTTCCCCACCACTGCTTAAAAGGGAACCCCCACACTTCTTTCATCTCCATGTACATCAGATGGGAGATGAAGTATTTTTATTTCAGGGAGGTGTTACTTATCTGTCGTTACATAAACACACTCAAATGCATTTACCTTCCCAAATTCAATGACAAGAGTGGTTTTCTTAGCTAATTATCTATTTTCCATATGACTACTGGTAACAACCCTGAGAGTAGTTCAGTTGGTTAGAGAATGGTAATGAGAACACCCAGATCATGGGTTTGATCTCTGTATGGACCATTTGTGTAAGAGTTGGACTTGATGATCCTTGTGAGTCCCTTCCAACTCAGAATATTCTGTGAAATCTGTGAGACTATATGGCCTACAATATGTTTGAAGTCATAGACCTTGTAGAAGATGTGATATTGTCATGGGATGCATCTCATATGAAGGCTACAGCAACCACAGTCTTTGACATTTCCTTTTGGTCTCTCATTGCCTGATAGCCTCCAGAAATGAGGCAGCAGTGATTGATGTTTGTGTAGCTTCTGCTGAAGCTTCAGAGTTTCTCCTCAATGAATACTTTACTTTCCAATCGTTCTGTATTTTTAGGGAAGATATTCCCTTAGATGGAATGCAAATATCTGACACGTAAAGGTTTGTCTCTCACATAACAGTACTAATTTTTCTTCATTCTTCACAATGAGCAAAACTGTAGAGAGCTGTAGAGTCTTTCAGAATTCACTGGTATCTCTTGCTCTTTTTGCAAAGTCATTTATATATGTGTTACAGTCAGAAAAGAAGAAAGTCCTGCCAGTAACTGCTACCTTTTATCTGAGAGGCTTCATAGAACTTTCACAAAATATTGGTTCTCTCCAGGGGCAGCTTTGACTTCTGGCAAAATTACTATAGTACAATGCAGTAGCATTTGAACTTCACTGTAGGGGAGGTGTGAGGAAAATTAATGCGTAGCTTCTAACAGTAAGGCTGTTCTTTATGATTTCCCTTTCCTTAGTTATTGACCTTATTCCTGAGCTACAAGATGAAAAAATAAATCTAATTTCATTGCGAGAGGAAAATTGTGATTTAATTCTAATTTTTTATATTTTGCCAGCAAAAGATTATGCCATATATAGACATGTCAGTGTTAAAAAGGTGATGTGATACAACTACAAAGACCTAATTTTTCATAAGCAGGAGTTGAAAATGCAAGCCAGATTAAAACTCTTACAGAAGAAAAAAATTAAATTACTTGTATACAAGAATTAAAAACAAACAGTAACACATATTTCCTATCGTAGAAGAGACAATGCTATTAAATCAAGTTTTTTGATAAATGAAAGTACATTTTGAGGAAAATTATAACATTTTTTGACCTCTACTATCTACACCATGATGTTCAGGTGTTAAAAAATAAATACATGGTAGAGTAATTTGTACTCCAAATAGGAAAGGTTCATAACACAATGTCCACAACAGAAGCAATGGTCTTCAGTGCTGCCAGAATCATCAGTATTTATTATATAGGGTAAAATAGATGGAGTAATCTTGTTGACTATATAAGATGTGATTCTTAATCAGGAACAAACATTTGTCCTCAGAGTCATAGATATTGCCACATCCCAGCAGGATAACTTGGTAGTGCTTCAGTTCTGGCCAGCGAAAGTTCTCTGGTGAACAGATGAATTCACCCTTCAGTGTCGCCAGAGCTGCACACTGGCACTGCCTACAGCTTTAGTTCCGGGGCAAAGGCTGTCCAAAAGTATTTTATTTATTTTATTTTTCAATAATAAATAAAATTAAGTAAAATCTTTCAGATAAATTGGAGAAAATGAAAGAAGAAAATAGACTGAAAAATACAAGTGAAATAAACAACTTGTCGGAAAAATTGAAATATGAAGATATGGAAAAATGAGGCATTGTAGATGGAAATTCAGACTTCTGCATTTACATTTTAGGTAACATTCTGTCAGACTGACTGTTTAAAGAAAGCTCTTTTGAGTCAGTGGAACCGGGGAAGAGTCTGTTCCCCTGGCAGCCTGACATTAGAACTCAGAGACTGTGAAATCTTAATCTGTTATATATGTCCATAAATTATAGGTTGTATAACTGTCTAGGGAGGGTACAATATCCTTACATTAATTACCAGAGCAAGTAAGTAGTCCTGAAATTCCACAAGATTGAAAAGCCCAGAATGAATGTAAAGAATTACAAAAAACTAAGTGTGCTGGTTTAAAGGTAAACCAGCAGGGGAAATGAACTCAACTCAAAAGAGAGATTATGAATCAGAATAACAATTTAATAAAATAATACAGTAAGTACAATTATACAGACAAACAATTGGTTTTAACCCACAAAGCCCAAATATATAACCCAGTACCCTGGGGCATGAACAGAGTGGTGTTCTTTGGCCCCCCTGAGTCCAAAGTAAAAGGAGAGGGAAAAAACCTGTTGGTGAGAGTGCTGTTGCAGTCTGGTCAAGAGTGGTGGTTGCAGTCCAGTTGAGAGTGATGGTTGCAGTCTGGTTGAAAAGTGGTGGTCTGCAGTCTGGTTGAGAGCGGTGATCTGCCATCTCCCTCTGGATCCCACGAGTGGTAAAAAAAGTTCCAAGACTCCAAGATTATATATTCTCCAGTTCAGGCAGGAAACGCTCAGTACTTTCCTCAGGGCAAGGAGTTTCACAAAGGGTGTGAGGAACAGGGAGGCACCCTTCCATATTGCAGGCCTCTTAACACCTACGTTGTAGCCTGAGGAGTCAGGCTGCTCTGGGCAGATGGTGTAAATAGTCTATTGAAAACAGTTTCTGGGAAATGGCGTGGAAGGCTATAGAATACACAGTTTTGGGTTACATCCATCCAATGATGAACTGGTCTCAGCTGTCCTAACTAGGACACTAAGGTAAAGGAAGTACATCTTAAGGAATCTTTTCCAAGTCATATACTGGATTCAGAGATAATTAATGCATTATGAAAACTTTGCTGTAAAATGGTAATACTATGGTGAGAAGCACCATCCATTCAAATCAGATTTTAACACATTAAATTTTCATTTTGGTACTAATATAATCTTTATGAGGCTCAGAATAAAATTTCAATGTCAGGTCTTAGTCCTGTTTTATAAATCTTGTTTGCATATGTGTCTGGCAAAGGCATTTTCCCATTCTTTAACTTGTGGATTTCTTCAAGCAGTGTTCTGTGTTCACTGCTCTGAAAGCCACATACTCTTCTCTCAAGGAGAGAGACCTTGCTCAATTCCCCCATTAGCAACTGAGTACCACTCTGCAAATAATATTACTTCATCTTGTTTCAATAATCTTTCTTTAAAATGCCTGATTTTTTTCTTTGTTTTTGTTTGAATTCACAGATTTTGCCTCTATCACCACCCAAACTGGGATTTATCTCTTAAATTATATTACATGTAATGTAATGTACGGTGTGAACACCTAATCTACTCCATAACAAGTAGAGTAGGTACTTAAAAAGCATAACTCAGAAAAACCTTTTTGGTTACTGTTTTAGAATAAGATGAAAAGCCTTCTAACAATATTGTTTTTTCTTCATTGACTCTAAAAAGAGAATAGACATCTAGCTGCAATATAGGTATTGGAATATAGGTAAGATGAGTTCCATTTTTATTTAAAATATTATATATTGTCATATGCATGCATGTATTTTCCAAAAATACAAAAAAACCCCAGACTTTCTTCCAGTTTGCTGTCAATTCACAAATGGAGCTTTTGGTTGCACATACAACTGAACCCCATGTGCAAGCACTCATTATCATTAATGATTATATTGCAAGTTGCATCAATCATTAGTTATTTCTGTACACCCTTGTATCCAGATGAAAATAATAGTCTTGATTAAGGAATAAACAATGTTTTCTCTAAGATTTGTAAGAGGCAATTAAAAGACTTATGTGGCCACTGAACTTTCCATGATGATGAAATTTTTTATCTTACAAGGAAGAAAAGGATACTTACATGGCAGAAGGTAATAAGATGTTTCTGATCTTGTTTATGAAATTCTGATCTGGATGTGAGGGCTTACTCAGCAGAACTGAGTAAATGCGACGTCATTTGGCTTTAGTAGATAACCCAGTGATTCTGCTCTTTTTTTAATATTTGATAATCCATATTTTACTTTAATTTAAAGTGACTTCTGATAGCCTTTTATGCAATTATTTTTCTATTGATTATGCCCCAAATCTCTCTATTGTGGTCAATGTAATTGAAGTCTTTTATAAGTCACTTGCAAGAAATATTTTATTTGAAAATATTCTGACCAGAATGTACTATATTTCAATGGGGGAATTACTTCTGCCTTCTTACATGCATCCTATGTATTTACACTACTACAACTTTGAAATTTTTTGATCTTAGATATAAATGTTTTATAAAGTTATATGAAGCTATATGTTCTATAAAGTTATAAATTAAAAATTCCCAAACAGTTTTATAAATGTTTTAAAAGAAAAAAGTTTATCCCTAACACCTGAACAGCACCATGCTAGGTCTAGATCTTTTATTATTTCTGAGATTTTAGTTTTCGGCTCTTTTGTGTACAATTTAATGTGTCTGTTTAAAAGCTTGAACAGTTAAAATCCTCTTCCCAAGAGAACCTGAAGGTTGATTCAACAATCTCATCATTAAATGCATATATGCACACCCATACTTATGAAAATTCTCAGTATTATTTCATATATATATATATAATGTTACAAATATAAGTTTTTACTAAGATATTTAAAAGATCCTTAACATCTTTCATCTTTTAATGCTGGAAACATATGACAGCAAATATGCTTCTATAGCCCTTCAATTCTTGGAGTCTCCTATATAATTTTCTTTGCTTATTGTGGCAAACATTGCTACAATAACTGATGGAAACTGAGAGCCTTGAGGATGTAGCAGCATTTTTATGCTGGATTTTTGTTAGCTTTACTTATGGTTGAGTCTGGGACCATAAGAATGTGGTTTTGGTGTGACTGTTTCTCCAGTCATTGCATGGCAAACTGCTTTCTCTCTGAAGAGAGTATGTGGAGTAGTCTGCCTGTCTCAGCCCTCTGTGTGCTGCCTTCATTAAAATTATTTTCAGAACCTGTCTATTGCTTGGTTTCCTTTACCCTGGTCTGGAGGGATTTCCTGATGTTTTATTTCTGACAGCATTTCTTAATCTCTGTGCTTCCTAGCCATTTGTTGTCAAAAGGGTTGAATCTTCCTTTATTTCTCTCATAATCATTGTGAGATTGAAAAAGAGTATTGTACATGAGCTGGTGGGGGGAAAAATAAGGGGTACTCTCTTACTGACTTCCAAGCTCCATTTTCCTCTTGGCTTGGTGATTTCCATCTTTATGAAAAAAATCTTAAAAATGCTCTGGGTAGTGAGAAGTTCATAAAAGGCTAATTTTTCTTTGGCAATACATGACACTGTTTCTAATAAGAGTAGCAATAGGGGCAATTCTTTCAGTTGCCATCCCATTACGCTGTGCAGTTTGCAATGCTGTACTGTATCTATTGCAATATCACACTTCCCCAAAGGGCATAAATAACTTCATTTCCTAAATGTAAAAGATCATTTGGAAACTATGTGTTACAAGTTTCTTCATGATTTCTAAAATTGCATCATAGTCACTAAAGAGCAGAGTTCGTATTTCCCTGACTACACCAATGTAATACTTGCTCATCAGAAATGTATCATATTACTAAACTTTTAGCTTGCAATTTTTAGATAATACCGTACCTATTTCTGGAATTTGTTTGATCAGAGACAATTTGTATATTTAATTCTTCTGGAAAAATATCCCTGCTTCAGACACAACATCAGGCAGTTTTTTAAGGATAAAAGATTTAGAAATTCTCTTTTCTTGCCTCTTGTAGGGGAACTTAAACAGAGAATTTTCGTTCAAAAGGACCTACAACTGAAAGCACCATCAGAGCATCTTAAGGGGTGGAAGCCAAAGAGCCCAGCACCATAACAGCTGAGCCAGGAGCAGGGCAGCTGGGGTTGTCACAGCCCCAGGCACAGAACACCTCCTTGACAATGGACTGAGGTTGGACCAAGACACAGACTACCTTGGTGGGACCCATTGCAAGGCAGAGCAGCGCTGTGGGGAGCTGGAGACCAGCAATTCTACAGGATTGCTGGGGCAGGTGCTGACAGCCCTGGGGAATGAGACCTGGGCCATGAAGTCTTGTGATCTGGGCAGGGCAGGGAGAGTATAAGAAAGGCTGAGCAAGTACCAGATATAATTTTCTGTAAATCTGATTGGCTTGGATTATGTCTCTCATGAATCTAATTAGATTGTATTTCTCCAGAGTGAGAGTGACCAACAAATTACTAAAGCTTTGTCTGTAAGGGAATGTGGGTTCTTCCATGTCTTCACAAAACTTTATTTTTTCTCTTTGATTATTTGGAACTGTTACAGTTTTTGTAGGTTTGAGAGCACAGGGATTCTGGATCCAGTATTACGTGATGTAACTCCAATGACACTTGGCAATTTTAGTCTCAAATCTCTTCTCATTTCTCTCCATCTAACAGCAGTATGAGGTTCCATTGATATCAGTGGCAAAGTGGTATCATTTATGGTATTATTAATGTCAGTGTAAAGTCTTACTGTCTGGATTTTAGTGGTAATGTGGCTACCATAAATAACTTTGTTACGGTAAGCTGATGATATGGCCAATTAAAGCTGAACTTGTGTCAAACAGCAAAGAGATTTCATATGGTCAGTAAGGTACTGATTCTACATTATTGCCTAAAGAAAAGTCAGGGAGAAAAAAAACCCAGGGCAACTTAATTTGGAGGTAAGGTAAGGGAAGGTTTTAACAATGCCTCAGGCATTGGGATTACAAATCACACGCTCGCTGCCCCCGACCCAGCATTACAATTTTATAATAATGTCCATCCAATCCCTGATTTATCCACCCCTCATCCTTGGCCTTGTTCCACCCCCCAACCCGCCCCTCAGGAATTGAGTCTGGCGATGTTTTGGGACCCTTTCTTCTTCATCTTCTTCTTCTTCAGGGCACACTGTCCTTGGCACTTGTCCAAAGTTCTGAGTGATATCTGGTGGTCCAGGCCAGGGAGCAGATATTCTTAAAAAAAATGAAGGCCTACCTTGAAAAAGAAGACTAAATATGCTACAGGAATTTAGGGGGACTTGATATGGGGAATATGGAATGGGGTAAGAGGGTTGGGTGTATGTGTAACTACTGTGCTAAAGGTTGAGGGAATAAATGCTGTTACTTCTAAAATCAATATAAGTACTTATAAAACTGATAAATTAAAAATCAAAAATTAAAAAAAAAAACAAAAAACCTTAAGTCGACAACATAATTCATTATAAAATTATCAAGATACAGTCTTCCTAAATTCCTTGTGTTGAATCAGGTAATGGTCAATGGCAACAGCTAGACAGTAGTTTTGCCCAAGTCACAACGTAATATGTGCTATAAAGGAAATTGAAGGAAAATCATCACTGCAAATCAGTGGTATACGAAATGTTCTGTTTTTCATATTGTTGAATGCAGTAATTTATTGTTTCCTAATAAAAACAATTTTGCAGTCATAACCAACCAATCAACCAACCAACTAACCATTCTAAAAAAACCCCATAACTCTGTTTCTAGTTAAACATATGGTGCATTTAAAAAACTTTTAAAAATTTTTATTTTCACACCCTCTCAGAAATCTCTACCTGCTTGCTAATGCCTGCGCTTGCAGTGTATTGTGTTAGTTCTTTATTTTAAGGAAGTTAAATTCCTTTGCATTACATTTGGTACAGAGACACTGTGCACCTAATGGCTTATTCAAAACAAAAATACCATAAAAATGTTATAAATATGCATTAATCGCCTGCATTACAGTATAGGAAAACCCCATAAACTAGAAGAAGCCATAGAAATATGAAATGAATTTAAAATTATGAGCTGAGTTTATCAAAGTGATAACACACAAAAGGATTATAGCTCTATCAGCTCTCTGTTATGTGTGCATATATATATACGTATGTACGTATGTATGCATTTTAAATAATTTCAAAAAAATCTGTGAAGTAGTTTTGTATCAGTGTTATGACTTCATGAAATGCCTATGCATTGCTTATTAGATTCATTAATAAAGGCTTATATTTGTCATGATAATGTCTTTCACTCCTGTTGACATGATGTTTTCTTTTTGCACATTAAAGATTGCATGCTTAATTAATTTTTATAATAGCTATGATAAATTTACAAGGTTTTTAAATTACTGTGTTAATCATAATACCTTTGGCAAAGTGTCATTTGGAACATTTTTACTTACAGAACAGAATTGTGAAGTGTTTTTTCTACACTTCCTTACTCTGTACTAACTTCAAAGAAAATTTTAAAGCCTTTGTACTGTCTTACTTCCAATCTTGGAAGCAAGTATGACTTCACAGAAAAAAATCTTTCACATTGACAGCATAGAGACTGGTCCCAAAGAGTAATAAAAGGTACTCTATTACTATTTTATGAGCGTTAATCTTGTTTTAAATCATATTTTTCAAAAATGTTTTTTTATTTCTCTGCAATTGTTGAGTTTTCATGGTTACTCAGACTATGTGCAAATTAAGCATCTTTCTATTTGTTCATAATTTTATGAACATATATTTATGAACATAATTATGAACATAAATTATGAACATAATTTGTTCATAATTTTAGGCTTCCAGGATGAAGGGATAATTCATAAACCAAAACAAGTATACTTTTCTGCTTTTATTTTTTTATGCTCAGCAATGAGCTGACGATGTAAGCAACAGTTTCCCAAATACAAACACATCTTTTACCCTGTAACACTTCATTTCTTAATACTGCTCATATTCTTGATTTAATATTTTCCACTGTTATAAAGAGTGAGAAATACAAAACAGCAGGCACACAAAAGGTCCGGTTCTTCATTCATTTCACTCTTAGTGTATTGTTTCAGAACTGAAGTTTAAGTATAGATTAAAACTATATAAGACCTGCTAGAGCCTTTTTAAGAGCTTAAAACTTTTCTTTTTAGAATGACTTAAATCCTTGAAAATGTCTAACAGATTAAATGTAGTGTCACAATTTATGTTAGCTTATGCTTCTCAGTTTTCAAAGATATCATAGGAGGAGAAAAGTTGCTTTCCAAGCAAAGGGCAGACAGGGAGAAAGCAGGAGAATTCTTGTTTGAAGCTTAAGAATTGGACAATTAAGTTTGCCAAATGCAATAAGCAAGGCAGGAGTTTGCACCATGGCTATGAACGAGAGATATTGGATAAAATGGGGCATACCAGTGAGGACAGCACGTGATCATGAATAACGTAGCAGGGAAGGAGAAATCAGTGGGGTGAGGCAAAAGAACTGACATTGTCAGCAATGTTGTGGACTCGGAAATTGATTTTTTAATCAACATTCTGAACTAAAATGATTTGGGCAAAACATATGAATGCAAGGGCAGGAGTCCAAGATTCCACAAAAGAGAAGGTAGAGGTGTTCAAATGTTGTGTAAATTACTGTTCATGGCTAGGCTTCGCGAACAAAGATTTGGGAAAATTACTATAGACAGCTTTATTAAAAAGAAAACTCAGCAGAATAAAACTCTTAACATGGATCTTTAATCAATGTCCTTTTCCCATGAAAATATAAATTTCATCAAACTACACGAGAAAAACCCTTTGAGTAATTGCTTGTTCTTTTAGTATGTTTACCATTTTCTCTCTCTCTTTTTCTATTTTTTTTGTTGTTGTTGTTGTTCTAGGAGAAATTTGTACCTAATTACGCACTTTGAAAAAAATGTAACATTTCATGTGATGTAAAATACTTCTACATATTTTTGTAGCAGCAACACCGTAACTGACAAGGCAGCTGTACCACAGGAGAAATTCCTGGTATTATTTACAGCACCTGTGTGCTTTACATTGATCCAGTATGCATCAATGGATCCTGGATCAATGCCATCAATCAACAGCTGAATGAAAATTTTATTATTCCTAGCAACTTAAGGTAGGTGGTAAAAGACCTGAAAAGCGCATATACATTATTGGTGAATGAAACTCTGTGAAAGGTCAAATCTTGTCTGGACAGCATGTGACAATACTGCAAGGGGAAGAAACATCAATAAAAGATGTTTTATCAATAAAAGAATCACCCTGATAAAAGCTATAAGCACATCTCTCCTAACCTTCAGTGGAAGTGTTACTGAAATATTTAGTGGTAGAGATGATACTTTCACACCAGAAGCTGTCTGACAGGCCCCTTATATCTGATCTTGAAACATCAGTTGATAGAATCTGAAATGAAATAGATCATTCCTAAAAGCCTCTTTACCACAAGGCCTGTTGAAAACACCTCCACTCACTCGAGTAACCATAAGTGAACAGGGTAAGTAGTACTTACCTGTACAACACGTTTGTATTCATGATCCTTCCCAATAGGAAAGTTTGACACTCATATATATTTTTGCATAGATCAACCAATTAAACATGGTTATACCCACTTGTAATGTTTCTTTCTGACAGCAGATGTTCCATTTAGAGATTCGTAGGTGTGTTTTATAACCCAGAGGCTGGAAATCTCTGCTGCTAAGAAAAAAGCTGGGATTTTATGCTAAAAATGTGCATTTATAGTTTCATGTCATTTTTTCTAGGGCTGCTGAAGGAAAACTAAATTAAATAGAAGATTATTCTTTCTGAAACCCCATTTTAGTTTCCATTAATGTCTGTAGAAGACACTATCTCCTTGAAGCCCAGCAAGAGTACTAGAATGTTGCTGACAATTCTGCCCCCAGATATATTTTTGTAGCATTTGTAGCATGGAGATATATGTATTCAGCTTACTCTTCAGCAACACATTCTCATTTGGTATCAACAGCCAAACAGTCTGTGCAGGTGGGGAATGCAGGCTAAAAGAATCAGAGTTTTTCCTTGGCTTCTTGCTGAATGAAAGATTCCAACTTCTATTCCTTTTTTTTTTTTTTTTTATTTGGGAGCTTTGAAGGTCCATTATTTTCTAAAAGAAACGGAAGAGGTTTATTGACATAAAACCTTATCATATTGGCATAAATAGATGAGAAAGACATAAAAAGAACCCTTTTCCATTCTACTTTATAGAGTTATCATGGTAAGAATGGATTTATTTGATTTATGTTTGAGATTGTCAGTTGCAAAATCTGGAGGACACTGACTAAACTCTGTAATGGTGTTATGACTGAAAATGAGAACAACTAAAGATTTCAAGTAAAAATTTTATGGCTTTAAAGATGATATCAAACCTGCTGGTTTTGCTCTGCTTTCCTCATAATTTCTTTGTTTTGCTTTTTTTTTTCTAGTCCTTCTGTTTAATTTATTAATACTTTTTTTTTTCTTCTCCTTCCAGGACTGCTGCAAGGGCATTACTCAAAGTTTCAGAAGATTTGCATTTGCAAACTAAGTCTAGCATCTGCATTTGCAATGAGGGATATTTTTCTCAGCTGGACTTTTGTGGTTCAGCATCAGTCAGTTTCTAATTAGATAGTGAGATAAATCAATACTGTCTTAAAAGACAATACTGTCAGGCCTAGGACCACTTCTGGGTGCCATTTGCTTAGTGGTTGAGCTTTCTGTCTTTTTTTTTTTTTTTCTTATACATGTCTATAATTGAGGTCACTTTGCATTATATTGAAGTCTGCTAATTGAGGACTTGGAGAAAAGTGATAATTTATTAAAATGGATGTTATTAAAATACCAAAGGATGGAGAAACCTAAAAATAATGAAGATCAACAGCCACCAGAATGCTTCTAGGTGGGTCCAAGCATTCATGAACAGCCGATACACATAGTTATGACTATTTATCAGTCACCACGTATGGTGAAGGTTTACCAGCCACCATTTAAAAAAGGTTGCTGTTCTCCTTGGAAATTGGAAATTAACCACATATACATAAAATAAGGGATGATTTAATAAGCATGTCTCATGGTCTTACAGTACGTAAAAGTTAGATCTTACTTTTGGACACATTCATGAGAGAATTTTAAAAACACTAGTTTCACAAAGAATATTTAAGTCACTAGCATGGGCTTTTAAATATCAGAATATATAATTCAAATGAAAAAATAAAAGTTACATTCCTAATACCATGGGAGGATATAGAAGACTGGATCTATTCAATGAGTGGAAGAAGAAACTCCTTTCTTGTCACTTTTCCCACCACATGGATCCTGCTGAGAGGTGGAAATCGTGCCATTTCTGTACTTGTGTTTCCATTAATCACCTTGCTTCCATGTTCTTTCAGCAAATGAGGATACTATAGATGTATTCCTATGCTTAGATAACTCTCTTTTTCTTAGTTTTTTTAAACTTTTGAAATGAAACTTTATAAATATCTGATTTTTGTTTTGTATGAGAGAATTACAGCAAGAATCATCAGCTTTCTCCTCAGCCTAAAATATGCCTAAGTGTACTTATGCAATCCTGAGTCCTTTAACTGAGTGGCTGTGTATTATGGGGGATGCTTATAGAGTAGGAGGATGCTTTTTCCCTCCATTGCCATCTTGTTCACTCAATTGTTTGCTTGCTTATTTGTTCTAGACACTTTACAGTGAGTCTTCTGAAGAGCAGAAGGGCTTCTGGTAACTTCTGCTTCTTTAATAAAGTAGGAAGTTGTCTATAACACATCAGAGCTCCTGTCTCAAAAAGTCTATAAAAGAGGGTATCCTGAACCATTTGCAAAGTGGTTGTGCAGAAGCTTTGAAGTGTTACAGAAGCTTTGAAGTGTTACAGTGTTCAGTCAAAACAACAGTATATTCTTCTGCTAAAAGGACTTAGAATATTTTCTTTTTTCAATCAGTTTAAAACTGTGAAGTAGAAAATAGACTTTCTTTAAAGTTGTAGAGCAGAGATGTTTCAGGGAACTCAGAGCAGCACCGACATAATGAATTAGAGACAGGAGATCGTCCTTTGTGTGGCCAACAATGAAGACTCATATACTTAGGAATCTAGAGCGTCTTTGACATCCTCAAGTAACACATAGGCAATCAGCAAAATATATATCATTATCAAATGTTAACTTGGCTATGGTGGACCAGACTAAAGTTTACAGAGAAATTGCAGGCACTATCATTTAAAAATCTTCTACAGAATGGTAATTAATGGATTTGATATACAAAGTCTGAGTTCACATAAGCTGAAGAGCATTCAGTGTCTGTGAGAGGAAAAAAATCAAAACAAAAATGTTTGTCATAAAGATTGAACTAGGAAGAACAAAACATTTCGGAGAGGAGTGTGTTGGAATTTAATACATTCATAATCTACCTTGCAACCATGAAACCAAAATTATTTTCTCTATGTATTCTACACAAATATTTATTTATTCAAACTACCCCAAATTGTCACAATAGTATATTAAAATCATCAGAGTGAGCAAAAGTACAAAGAACTGATGAAATTTCATTATAATACAGACATTATTTGGAAGAAAAAAAAGGCAGGCTTCCACAATTTAAGCTAATGATTCTCTCTAATAGCAGGGAGAATGGTATTGCAAAGCTACTGATATAGACATTGCTAACAGATACTTGCTGTATAACTCAGACTCTCTCTGATACAATAGATGACAGTGTGTGTTGCTGAAGGATTAATTATATTTATATATAATTAATAATTTTTGTGGAAAATATATCATGCCAGATATGACAGCATGAGAGAGGTGAGTCTGCTGCAGTTCCATGCCCCCAGGTTAAACCAGTGGCAAGGCTGAAAATGTATTCCTGGTAGGTACATGCACACAGATACGACATGCATAAATATATACACATATGCACATAATTGGCCACACAGATCACAGGCAGACACACATGACATAAGACATGCGCAAGAAACAAATTGTATGTACACATATATTATATACCTATCTATAAGTGTATAATGTACAAGTATACGTACAGTGTGGATGCCTCCAGGAGCTGAGCTCAGACATTGCAGCAGTCCGCCTAGCAGCAGCCCCTGGATCCCAATCTCCCAGTCTCTGCTGGCTCCTGGACACCCAAGGTGTTCCTACACCTGAGGGTGTAGGAATTCCCCAGTTGCTGGTACAGATCATCTCACTGGTCTATACTAGTGCATACATATACACACATCCCCCACAGACACACAGAGCTGGAAAGGATTCCCAGATCCCACAACCAACCCGTAGGTAGTTCCATACGTTCATTTTATAGTCCTAAGTCACATCAGGATACTACAGTCTACTGACTAAGTGGCACAGATAAACAGTGACTTGATGTGTTGCAAATAGTTTTAAACCTATTGACATTATTTCTGGAAACAAATGAGATAATGCCTTCTGACAACAAAAAAATAACTAAAAGCGGTTGTTCAGAACTTTTGGTTATGTTGCTTACCCTCTTTTGGAATGCTAAATAAGGATATATATAAGACGGTAAATGTAACAGAAATTTCCCTGAGTAGTCATTCTGGCTGCATTCATATTCCCATTATCTTGATATCTGTTCATTACGTTTTCATATAAACTTTCTTTACTTATATTGCTGTTGCATCAGGTCAATGCCTTGTGGTAGCTTCTGTTCCATAGCTGTGGCTTCTTACTGATGAAAATACAAACTGTTCTGAATTCACATAGATATCCATTTTGTTAACTTGAAGAATACTGAAATTCCAGTTCCCCAAAAACCTTGAATACAGACTGTGTGTTTCACACAGAGGCATATTGGTTGCATTGCTACAAGGGGAAGAGCTTGCAGGTTGGAGATTAATTGCTTTTATGGTGCTTGCCTGCTCTGGACATACGGTGATTTATCTGTCATAGATCTTTCAGATATTGCAACTCTGTAGGCTGGCATGTTAGGTAAGATGGAAACTTTAACCCAAAATTTCACTCTCAGTCCTTCTTCATTGTTTCTTGATCAGAGAAAAAATGCTGTATAGCTGCATGGCACTCTAATAATCTTCTTATAATATCTGTGCAGCATCAGAGAGGTGAACTGGGGACTCAGCAAATTTAGACTGAAGACAGAACTGAAGTGACTGGTGCTTTACCCCTTATCCCCCAATTTTTTCTGACAGAATATATGGGTTCTCAAATCCTGTGACACCCTTTCATCCAATGGATCACCCAAACCCTTTCTCTTTAACCTGTATTCGGGTCCTACCTCTTTAATTATTTTCTTGGTACAGTTCACACCAGTTGCTATCTAGCCCTTGAAGTCAGAACTTGAACTCCTTTTTCCTGAAAGAATCAAAAAAATAACAG